AAGTTCTTCTGGGTGCTTGGAAACTGAGCCCCATAGTATATGGTCCCAGGCTTTTAATTTTCATTGTTTTGTGCTTTTCGTCATTATCTTATTCTGCCCTTAAATACAGTTTGATGCTTGTCCCATTGTAGATTTGAGGAGCTAAGCTTGTTGTCCTGGACCCATGAAGTTGTATCTGTAATATGAACAGAACAGTAGCACTTCAAACACCAGCATGTATTTCAAACAGACCCCGTATACTCATAAAATGTTAGAATTTAGGATCTTTCCAGTGACAGCCATGAGTGCCTTGTTTAAATGTCAGGCTTCTGGAAGATCCTTTCCTGGCCAATGTTGTTTACCTGTCTGTCCCTTAAAGAGAAAGGAGACACGAGTCTTTTGTTTGAGTTACTCCCTTTCCAGCTGGAAACGTTGTATAGTATGTTCTGTATTGTGTTTATTACAGAGCATGTGGTACCAGCTTGAGTGTACCAAGACCATATCCTTGTATTGTTCTATTTTTATGATTCATCATTTTCCCAATCATGTAGAATCAAATCTTCCTGAAATATCTTATTTTTGCAACAGAATTTCAGTCTCATCTTGCGTTCTGTACTATTTATTTTGTCATCAGAACTGTTTAAATTCATAGTAAGTGATTTGGCACTCTGTCTACTTGTTAGCCAGTTTATTTGGGTAAATTGTGGTTATCTCCTAGGTATTTCCATCATATTTTTTTGAAACGTACTATTTGACCCTACACTATTTGAGAAAATGAGTAATTGAAATCTGAACTGTATGCTGTTTTGATAGAAAGTATATTCTGGTTTTGTTTTCTGCTTGGGGAGGAATCAGGTTTCAGCTTGAATGGTCATGGTTCTCCCTCTGTGTTTTGTTTCTGGTATGTTGTTCTACAAGCCTGCAGAGTAATCTTACAGGATAAAAACCTCCTGAATACATCCTAAGTATGTTAACATATAGATGTTCTATAGATACCTAGATTTGACAGTTAGACTATTTGTAATTTAGAGGATTTTCATTTCCTTATAGTTTGGATAGGATTTTTGAGTGTCAGAAAAGACATGTCTGTCTTTATCTTCAACTGATTCTTTGATAAGTGTAAGGAAATTATCCTCGTAAAGGTGTCTGGGAAAAATAGTCTCTTTTGATTCTTTAGTAGTTTGAAGGCATCACTTAATTTCATCAGGTTATTTTATACATGTATGTGCATACAAAGACTGAAGATCAATATGTTCAGGTAACTTAAGAGCTGCTCGAATGGGGACAATGGTCAGTTATTCAAATTCAGCATAATTGAGACTTGAGATGCAAACAACTGCCCTTTAATTTTGATAACCGTACCTAATTTTCTTCTGATGATTCGTGTAATTTCAAAAACGTGATTTTAAAGATGAAGCTTTCTATGAAGCTGTCAAAATTATACAGTTCACATTTCTGAAATAATCAAATTACATTTTCTAATACATAACTAGAGAGACTGAGGTGATTTTCACATGCAGTATTGCGCTTAGCACAAAAACAAATGCTAATGTGACTATCAGTACAGGACCAAACTTTATCTGAGATCTGGGGTGTTGCCATGGCAATTCCAATTGTTGGAAAAAAATTCTCTTTTGTGCTTCATTCTGACATTATATTGCAAAATGATGATTATGAAGAAACATGCAACCCAAAAGAGGGGGAAAAAAATCTCTTCTTGAAGATGTAAAACATACTTTCTATCGCATTTACTTTTTCTGAATGTGTGCCTGGATTGTTATGAGCTGTATTTTTTGCAGATTCAGATACATCGCTATTTCTCAAGCTGCCATAATAATACTCAATGTTATTTCTCCCAAATGTAATAATCAACATAATAAGGAACTTGGAGACACGTATCCCATTTCTTATGCAAAATATGTATTTCTGGTATATTATGCTGCTGATGTAGACCTTTTGCTTTCAGCAAGACTACCTATGTTAGTTGAAGCATATCTAAAATACATATCTTGCTTATGTTATTGATATATATCAGATATATAATCTCTTTATAATAGAATAGCTCATGATAGCCAATAGATCAGTCATTCCTGTTTAGTTATAAAATTGTTTTTCTACCAGTACATCTTACTGTGAGAAAATTGATATGGTTATTACCTGTTCCTTGCTAAATCAATATCCAACAAGCTTTAAATAAATAAATAATAATACCCTTCACTCCCACCCCCACCGAAAAAAACCCACCAAACAACAGAACCACACAATACTTCCAAAAGAGAAACAAATGAAGTGGTACAGTTAAAATGTGGGTTGCACTGCAATTCATGCTGAAGTTTATTGTGCATTCTTTCATGTACAAAATGTGTAAAATGGGAAACATTTCCAGAAGAGAACTAATTCTTGCAGTGCTGCATTGCTGCTTTATAAATAAATCATTGTCCTTTCTCTATTGATCACTGGAGCAATTCAGTCAAAGAATGCTGACTTAGTGCAGCCCTTCTCAGGCTGGCTGGATTGAAAGAAAAAGTGGGACCCAGCAGCAGGGAGCAGGGGAAATCCCAGACTGGTTAGAGATCAGGTTTGGTGCATAAAATACGGCCCTTGATTTATCTTTTACCTTCAAAAAAACTTAACAAAGCACTTGATTTCTACAAGATTTTCTGTCTATCTTTATTTCCATATTGTCATTGATCAGGGAAAATTAAATATGAGACAATACTAGTTGTAATTAGTGGATGCTGAAAATCTGTGTATAATGTATTGTGATTTTTTTTCAAGAACACACTAAAAAAGGCCTTCCAAATTTAATCCAGTCTTTTAATAAATGCAGATTATGATATTTATATGTCAAGAAACAGGGCCTCAATTCTTCCAGGAATATATTTGAAGACTCTCGGAAATAGTTCTGCATTCCTGTGAATTGAGGTGGAATCTGAATTTTATTTGGTTATCTCAAACATCACAGCTTGCCAATCTGACAATTTGATGATGTCTGATTTGTCAGGATTGCTGGTATCAGGCTTTTCTGAGAATAGGAGTAGCCTGTTACTGTGAGGAGATGAGAAATACTATCTGGGTTTGCATGTCTGACTGTTATAATCAGTACTGGATCTCAGAGGCATCTACTTTTTAAAACATGGCTTTCGCTGAAGGCTGTGGTAGGTGTCCCTTACAAGGCTATACACTCACAATGTTGTTATCCAGAACTTCCAGCTAGTTCTGGAACATAAAGTTCTTATTTTTCATAAAATAAGATTTACCGGGAGATGCATGGCTCAGCTGATGATGGCAGGTTATTCAGGGCTGTGGTGATGCATTACTTTTAGGGCATGTTGTCATCACATAATTTTTTTCTGTTTCTTATTAATTACCAGTATTTCCAGGATGCAGCTCTGTAGAATGTAATTATTTATTCCACTGGGTGTTTTGCTTCTAGTACTGCAGTCAGAGGCAGCACATGCTGCTGTATTCTCACCCGTGTGCAGTTGGCTGGCTGATAGGAAGCAAAGTGACTTGCAAAAGACTTCTTGACTCCAGTAGAGGTGGAGGGCACGGAGCAGAATAACTCAGTGGGGGGAACTGCGGACTTGCGTGCACAAATTGATCTGAAATGCCTCAGCTGTGCGAGGGGTGGCTGGGGGGTGTTTCTGTTCTCCCTGTGCTGCCTGCAGGGTGCAGCTGGGGGGCAGCCAGGGCTGGGCAGCATGGACCCACCAGCTCCCTTCATGGACCCACCGGGATCAGCTCCCTGTTGAATGTGCAGGCGACAGAAAACTTCTCCCAACTTGGACGATAAACCTGGACCAGAAGGATTCCCTGAAACAAATCTGGAGGTACAGAAAGAGACTAAACGTGTCGACGTTGCTAACGTGGCAGAAAGAACCTGGCACAGCCCTAGTTTCCCCTGAACTGACAGCAGTAAGGCTTTCCCTTTCCTCTCCCAGTGTCCGAGTATCAGTCCATTCATGCCTTCTGCTAGTGCACTGAAAGGCCTATAATTAACACGAACATAATAAACCATGAACTATTTTGTTATGTGAAATAATGCAATCTATTAAACAAACAAAAAACCCGGTTGTGTTTGTTTTACTCCTCTGACCATCTCCCTGTTCCAGCTGGAGCGGAGCCTGACCGCTGGCCACTAGATGCCACTGTTGTATAAGGACATGCTGGGCATAATGGCTTAGACAATAATTTACTTAGAGAACATGTATGTGTATAATTAGGAGTCATCAATGTCTTTCTTTTAAAATAAAATAAGTTTACCATATCTAATTAGATATTTCTTGTAAGATGGATTTCATTCTAATTGGGTAAAGCTATGCCACTGGTTTAAAAGACAGCAAAGAATGTATTTGTATTCACTTTCACAGTTTCCGTATTTTTTTAGTCCTTGCAATAAATGGATCTGATTACACCTTTTAAATCGATGTTCTCTCAAACTGGTATGACATAAATGATTGTTCTGTCATTGTGATTTTACTGCCATTGTTTTCAGCGTGTGAGGGTTTTTAGTGATACTTCTCTTAATCTCATTGTGTCTTTCCCTATCCTCCTGATTGTGATCTTGAATCTGCATGTTCTTTCCATCCAAACTGAAGTAATATATTTAAAGATCCACCAATTGCCACCATGCATGACTCTAGCTTGACCATGTCAGCACAGGCTTTCCAGCATCAGTGAGCTCATTAATCCCCAGCTAATGAGCCAGAGCGCCAAAATGTCTGTTGTACAGGGGGGTTCTCTAAAAGCTCATATTTCCTGTAACTGTGTTGGACTATATTCAGCCAAGGTAAAATTCAAATTCAGTGCTTTTCTGTAAGAAAAATGAATACCTTTAATCTTCTGAATGAATTCAGAAGGCAGTGGCTAGTCAGCGTCACACCTGGCATGGGCAAGGCTTACACCCCTTCCCAATGCAATTTCATTAGTACCTGAATTTGCTTCACCAAGTGAGTTCTGGATTTTTCCACTAAAATGCTGTGTCACGTGCTAACGTAAGATCTGTGTTCATTTTACAGTTCTTTCAGATCTGCGTGAGTTTGTCTTCCTCAGATCATCTCAGGTGATGCCAGGTTGAAACATTGACCACTTCCACCTTGTGAGTGTTCCCATCAGGCCGTTCCTGCTACTGTCCAACATGTGAGCCACTCCTAGCTGTATTTCCCAGTTATGACTAGCACTTATCTATTAAATCTGGATGGAATCTTTTAAATTACTTTAAATTATCTTCTGAAAAAAAGCTACTCCTGCAACAAAACAATGGCAAAGTAATTTTAGAATAATTTTCAAATTGTGGTTCATAACTGCGTTACACCTCAGAAATAGCTTGGCTACCTGTCACAGTGGGCACGGCTTCCTCTGCCATCCCCATACCCCATATACAAAATGATGGGTTATTATACAAAAGTTGTATCTCTGTCCTATTTATTGAAGTGTTGGTTCCTAAATAAAGGATCTCAACAATAATTTGAGCTGGCAGAAAACCTGCTTGAAAATTATGTATTTCAGTAAAAGGTTTTCAACAAGCTCTATTTCTGAAGTTAAAGTACTTCAATTCCCAATGACCAAATTCATTAAAATATAAATTAGCTTAAAGAAACAGATGAATCACAATAGTATATTTGCATATCATCTATTTGGTGTGAATGTAGCACTTTCTTCATGTAGACTAACAGCTACTCCAGTCTTCATAAATGCATCATTGAGTAAATGACTGTGGGGTGAATGAGAAAGCAAAGAGGACAAGGACAAAAATTATTTTTGCTGAATGGGAAAGAATGCTGCAGAATTCTGCAGTTGGAATTAAAACCTATGTTAAACCAGTTTCCTCCACTACAACATATCTTAGCTAATCAATTAGCATAGGAAGTTTATGACTGTCTCAGTATTCTAATAATAGAAAAGGTTTTAAGGAAATATGTTCCGATTGTATTTTCAGAATTTTAGATAATTAGTGATTATTGCAATGAGGGTGAATATCATCTAAGAAATAAAGGTGAAGAGTGATCAGGCTGGATGGAATAAGAATGTCTTATCTCAGGGGAGATAAATGATCCATCTGCAGTAAGACCTTTCCATCTGCAAAAGGCAGCAACAGAAATTTCTAATAAAGTTTGACCTGTTATTCTGTAAGTAATATATTCGAGACTCCAATACAGAGTATCTTGTCAATTCCTTTTAATAAATGAAGCTGAACTGATACAGCAGCTTGTGCAGTTCCTCTGATCTGTACCAGTTCTCAGTATATGCCTTCATGTGTATTTCCGTGAATTACTGATGCACTTGGCCAGTGAGTTTTCTGTGACTTCAAAGCCAAGACTTTCATTTTGCCTTGTATAAAACATTCCCAGAAGCTGAGTACTGAAGAAAATAAGAAGGGAGAAAAATATTGATTTTAGATGTTAGGATAATCTTAAGAAGATTTTGTTTGTTTTTTCTTTAGATTTCTCATTTGTTGCAAATACTTCCCAGGATATTCTTTTGTAGCAAATCAATTAGCTCCATATAAATGCAACCAATAACTGCAAATATGTCACTTGTAACATCCAGAAGGTGCTATGGCATGGGAGGATATATTCTTTAGAGGCACTATTCTACATCTCTTCAGTTTTCCAGGAGGAAGGATGAAGAACAGATTGGTTACTCTTCAAGAATTGATGGCTCATTCTTGGCTTTTTGAAAAAGCTTGTGGTTGACATCATAGAGCACAAACTTGATTAGCTGTAATGTAATTTTTAGCTTTTGTGATGCAACTCTGTTGTTGTGCATTGCTCTGACAATGTAGTGTTTGGAAGACAGTCAAAAAAACCAAATAGTCCCAGATTTATGCCCTTTTTAGAAATGACTAAGACATTTTGAATCTTATCGATCAATAGACCCTTATACTTCTAAATCGCCTAGAGTATCTTTGAAAATATGACCTTTAATACAGTCCCATCTTTCTAAACAGCTTCAAGGGTCATCCCAGCATCTCCAGATAAATTTGGAGGCAAATAAAATGAGGAACTGCAGAGCTCAGCTTCAGCATGAGGAAGAATAAATCACAAGATGTGGAAAAAAAAGAAAGTTCCATGACTAAAGATTTTCAAACAGTACAATTTTACTTTAATATCATATCCTACAAGTTCTTCAGTCACATGAGAACCTGAAGCAGGTAAGTAACCTAAGTGTGACTATTGCTACACTTGAGGAAAATGGTTCAATAACTCATTGACCTCCAGTTGCTTAAACTTGTCTAAAATATCTTCCTTCTTCTACTTGATATGGTCAAATTTTTTGTAAGTGGAAGAATTTTTAATATTCAACTTGATAGCATTTGAAATCAGCCTGAAATAGACAATTTTATAAGAGTTTCATAAACTTCATTTAAACTGAATCCAAGGAAATGGGAAAAAAAGTATTGTAGATGAGTAATTTTTAAGGAATTGGGAGGAAGAGACACCATTATATAAAGGAATGTTTAGTATCAAAGCATATAAATGGCTTTAGCTGACAGCAGAAAAATAACTTCAAAATTTCACATATCATTCTCAAATTTTAATAGAAAAGGAAGCTAGAAAAAGGAAGGTAGATTTATTCCATTCTGAAGATAAGAAAGGCTGGTGTAACTGTGGTTTTTAAGTATTTTTCAGACATACTCAACTTTTGGTTTCAATGTTTTTAATTCTGATATGCAGTAATAAAAACTAGGTGCAAATGAGTGCTGATGAGTCTATATTGAAGTTAAAGGAATAGTTAAAAATGTCTTTGACTATTCATTTAAATTCAGAAATGAACTCCAAATTGATCATACCTATGACTTTTTGTGAATTTGCTCTCTATGAGCATGCAAGCACTTGAAATTAACTTCATGAATATTTGCAAAAGCAAATTTTCAATTAGATATTTCAGATACTTGCAGAAATAATTTTTCAGTGATATATTTAGTTGTGAGACTTGGATTTCACATCATGCTGCCTGATAGTCACGATCTGTTCAGTGGGACTGCATATCTGAAGGCCCCCAAGAAGGTTTTAGCTGGATGGAACACTTTGGAGAACCTTTACCTTGTGAATTGCAGGATTCATCAAGAAGAAGATAAAAAGAAAATACAAGAAAATAAGAAGCTGTGAAGATTTCAAATTTCCATTTGAGGAATTTTTTAAAAATATATTAAACATTGTAATTTAGCATGAAGTGAATTTTAGAGGCCAATTTCTCCTCACTTGTGCTGTCAGATGATCACTGACTGTCCAAGCAGAATAATTTCAAGAGACTGATTGGAGTTTTTTTAACTATTGAAGACAAGAATCCTGATAGAATGCAATGGCTGATAGTTTGGGTTAGCTTAGAAAAGTGGTATATGTACAGTGACTGTCAGTGGAGCTCCAAAATGGGATGTGTGGTTTCAAATAGAAGCTGAATTCATCTTGATCTAATAAGAAGTTTGTATAAAACTGTTCTCATGGTGTACCCAGTCTAAGCATGACCTTGAGCCTGTTGTGACTTGCAGGAAGAACTGAAGCCAAAAAGAGTACTCTTACTAAGGAATATGTCAGAAATGGTTGTTTGGCAATCTTCCATATCAAAAGAAGAAGCGCCACCAGCAGGTGAGGTGAGAGGATGAGATGTGGCCGGCCTGGCACACGTACATTTGTATTCCTAGAAACAGGGAAAAGAAGAAAGGATTCTTGACCCCTCTATGGACCCAGTGGGATTAGTTTCTGGCCTGAGCTGCAATGCATGGGGAGGCTGAGAGGAGAAGCCGCTGGCAGAGGTGCCCTCAGGACCCCACGGGCTGACCCAGAGAAGGTGAGCTCAGCTACATTGAACAGGGGAAAGGGGCTGCTCAGGATGAACAGCCTGAGCAAGGCTTGGACTGTATTTGGCAGCCCACTGTGCTGCTGATCTTGCAGGGGCTAGGTGAGGTCCTTATCCATAACTGCAGTCTAGAAATGCATTTTTTAATTTTAGTTTTTATTTTGTGAGTTTATCCAATGTGGTGTGCGAGACTCTAACCACTTATTTTGCTGGATTAAATGTATCCTGATTTCATCTCTGGCAAATGAAAGGCACATTCCCTATGGCTTGTTCAGGGCACTTTTTTTACTGGTGGAGCAGAGAACTGTACACACTGGAATGCAGGTATTCCCTCGGAGCAGAGAAGTGGTTTCCCACCCAGTTACTGGAGTCAGCTTGAGGGAGGGAACAGGCAGTGCTGGGTCAGTCTCCCCTGGCAGGCACAGCCAGTCTCTAACAAGCAGCAGGTGAGGGGAAATGGTTTATGATGCATAAGGTACCATAAGAGGGTCATACAACTCAAAAGAAATTGAATCAGGTTTCTGAAACTGAGACAACTAAATTATTTAGCCTGAACAGTCTCTCTTTGCAAAGGTGCCGCGTACCTTGAATCCCACGTTCAAATATTCTGCAAGCTAAAATACTGTTTATTAGAAGAAATTTGTGAGTAATTTAAAGCCAGGGATTATATGGGGAGTATTCTAAGTGATTTGTAGATGATTTCAAAACAAGAAAAAGAAGAGTGAATAAATTATTTTGTTACTTATTGCTTCTTCATATCTAGTTTGGATAGTGAGGGAACCCAGCCCCAGTGCCTAGAAGGCATACATGCCAAGGATTGGATTGCCTGTGTAAAAGTTATAGAATGTGATAACACAGTTGTACTGCATATTCCGTTTTGATATGTAACCTTTTAAATAAATTGGAATACTCTTTGTGCCTATACTGGCACACACAGAGAGATCATAAACAATAATTTTGTAAAGGTCACTTCCGCACTAAGCGCTTGAGCTCATGGCAAGAGCAGCATAGGGCTATTAAAGGACCTTTATGCTTCTATTTTTTGGTGTCTGTTAATATTTTTGCAGCTTTGGAGCTCTGCTTAACATAAAGGCTCTGTAGTCTCTCAAGCCATGGGTTTGCCTGTGGGGCCCTGGGCTGCCTTGCAGTGCTGCAGGGCTGGCAGTGAGTGCCCGTGTGCTGGCTGTCGGAGCTGGGGGTTACCCACGGAGGTAACGCAATGCAAAATGCCCGAGGCTGGCAGCATTCCTCCTGCTGTGAGGGAGGGGGAACACAGCATGATCCAAACTATGGAGCCTGCTGATCTCTTGTGTCAGGAGCATCTCAGAACAAACAGGTATCAAGAATCTGGGCAATATATGAGGGCGAGTAGCGGCTGAGGGACTTGAACAAGGCGAGAGGTACCAGATGCTTGCCAAGCTCAGTCCAGCTGCATAGCACACTGCTCAGATTTTCCTGCTGCTGCCTTCTAAGGTGCTAATGAAGTTGTTGGTTGAATCATTTTATTTTGGTCCAGTGGAAAACTTGTTCTCTTGCTCTTGTGTGTCTCCAGCAAAATACTTTGTCTCAGAGGAAATTTTTGGAAGCTCATAGTCCATCCAACCAACACTAAAACCATGCATCTCTGCTGGTCTTTAGAAACAAAGGCACATTTTGTTACAAACTCCCTTTATGTTATAAGCTGTTTTTCTTTCTTGTGATTGACAAGATAGCCTAAATCAATATCCTTTTATTTCCAGACCTCTATTATTTTGAAGAAATCCACATCTGTCTTGCTGACAGTGTAGGGGAAGTTACTCACCACTGTAGTGGCATCAGAGGACACCTTCAGCAAGGTAAGTGGAATCTGTCTGGTGTCATTAAAATATCCCCTAGCCTTTGGATGTCTGTGGTATCTGGGGGCTTCTGACCTCCAAGAGAATCAAGCAGGAGACTGAGGTGGTGGGTTTTAACTCCTAGAAGATGTTTTCTCTCCAATGCTGCCTGGTGCTGTAAAGCCACTGCGGCTTATAGGATATTGGCAATGTGCAGAGGTGTTGTAACTAGTGAACACCACAGTGTGCCTGGAGAAAGGATGCTTGATGTTGCAGGCGTGACCTCTTTAGCAGGGAGAGATTGGTGCTGCCTACCACAGGAGGTGGCTTGTCCATGTACTCATGGGGACACTCCCATGCCCGCTCTGCCACAGCTGGGATTGCCCCCATCACACACACAGCGCTGTGCAGAGCCAGGCCAGAGCTGGGGTGACAGCCAGCTTCTGCTACTGGCATCCATGCTGTTGTGGTGTTTACTCAATACCTAGGAATTTTATTAAAAACTATTTCACTTCTCTCTCTGTGGAAAGTCCTCAAATGCATGATTCAAAGCTTTGATTTTCTCTTCTGTGGAAGACCCATGCCTAGCACCTATCTGTGATCTCGGGGAGGTTACATGAACTCAACAACAGAGAGATGTCAGCCTGAAAGTTTAAATTACCCATGTGTCTCTTATCCTGTAAAATCACTTCACTGTTTCTGCTGGCATGATGGTAAAAATCTGTATTTCCCAAATTTAAAGTATCAGTGACAGTTTGTTGCTAGCCCCTCCGGCATGAGCATGGACAATCATATTAATACTTTGTCTATTTATGAGATTCTTAATAACTCATCTAAATTTTAACACATTTACATGACAGAATTTTTAGGAAGGTCATAACATTATAAAGGTATGTATTTGTACTTGTTCCACATCACTCCACAGACTGTAACTGTTTTTTTATCTCAAGCTGATGCATTGTAGCTAATCATTTTACTCCTTTAGCAGCATTTGTCTGACCTTCCCTACCTTCCCCTGTTTCCTGAATCAAAAAGAATTTTTTGTAAGATACTACATAATCTTCCCAGAAAAGAGATAGGACTTCAATCTCATAATAAGGAAGAAAAGATGTAATCTCCCTTGTGATTGATAAGCATAACTTGTAAATGAACCTGCTTTATGGAATAGTGAAAAATGGTTGGAGCAGTTGAAAATGCTTGAATATAGAGAAAATGGAAAGAAAGAAAACATAAGAAAGAATATAAATTTGTAAATGCAGAATACAAAATTATTTTTAGACATAAAATTAACAAATTAGTTTGACTGATATTACCTTCAGTTTACACAGAAACCATCTTTGACGTTTTCCATGTAGACTATTTTCTATGTTCTGCTGTGACTGAGGGAAAAACAAAGCACATGAGTCCTTTAAGGCAAGAGGAAAACATCCCGAAAGTCATTTTAACTGATTCCAAGAGTTGTGCAGCGGGCAGAGATTCAGGGCATGCAGAGAGGGAGGTGGCGATGCCAGGGAAACAACTGGTGTCTGAAAAGCCCAGTTTGCCATCCCCGTTACTGCTCTGCGTGGAGGCTGGGGCGGAGCCGTGTGCTGGTCAGGCCAGGCTCTAGCATGGATACTGCGGTGGAGATGCTGGTCTGAAACTCATGGCCTCTGAGGCCCCAGCCAGCTGGGATCAAGTACAGCAACACCAGATCTAACGCCACACTGCCATGGAGAGTTGGAAAACCAGTTCCTTGCTTGACCATGTGGACTCATTGGTAATGGCTGCATTAAGGAAAAATCTCTGAGATGGACTTGTTTCAGTTCTGTTCACACATTGCTCTTAGACTACGTGGACACACGCTGACCCATCTCTGAAATTCTGGCTCTTCTATCACAAGATTGAAGCAAATTTTCCATTTGTGGCCCTTTGTTTCTCTAGTTCTTTCTAAACACCCCAAAGCTGAACAGCTAGTAAAAGCTAAAAGTATATCTTTAAGGCACCTACCAGTGCCACAAACCACAGCATGGTTACATTATGTCATAACAGTGTCCAGAGTGCTTCTTGTGCAGGAAGACCTAGGTGAACAACTAGGTAGGTGCAGCTAATTTGCACAAGCAGAGTCCATCTCCTGAGCCCCACTGAGTGTCTGGGAAAAGCCACAGGTTGGTTTAGAGGCCAGGGATGGTGACTGATTCTTCTTCCCTCTGCATCCTTCCCCATCTTCTCAATGAGGAGAGTAAGAAACACCCCTTCACTCTTCCAGATCAACCTGTAACTAGCCCATAATGAGACATGCCAGTATCCTTTTTTCTTACTCAGGCACGTCAAACACTCAGCAAGTTTTTCCAGGCTCAAAAACTCACTGAGTTGAGCCTTGCATAGTGACACTATGTGACCAAAAGCAAAGTGCAAATATGCCTAAAATTCGGAACCTCAATTTAATTCACTATTGTCAGGACATTTCAGACACAGGGTGGAGAATGATACACGAATCCAAAACACGATGTATGTATAATGTCTATTAAATATTTCCGATTTCTTCCATAAGCATTTTTTTCAAGAAAAACGCCACTTTAACAACTCTGCTATTGTGTTCTGACATTGAAGCTCAGTAGCAAACTATGTGAAATCAGCTGTTCACATTAACTGTGGCCAGGGGAAGGAAACGCCACGGTGAAGATATTAGGAAGAGAGAAACAGAAAAATAGGTTGCCCATTCTCCTTTCTCTCATTTCTTGCACAGTTTGGCAGAGAGTTCGGGAAGGGGCTTTTCGCCTCTTCAGGGAGAGACATAAACTTGGACCACACATTCTCAAACACTGCCAGCTTGTCATTCAGCTCATGCATTCAAGATGTTGCATATTAATAGCACTCCCTGATGGCTGGTGGATAGGGTCTCTCCACCTATAAAAAATAAGCCTCTTGGCACAACAAAGTACAAAAGAGGCCCATACAGGGAAAAAAAATGTGCTTGAGAACTGGTTTGGAGAAACTCTGCACAGATGCTTATGTGCAGATGCATATTTCAGATGTTCTTTTTCCTGATTAGCATGCAGCAAACTCACCTGTTTTGCTACCTAGAGGAGTCACAGCAGACATGGAGAATCACCTGCGTGAGTTCAGTTCTGTCTCCCTGTGAATATGATTTTCACAGCAACCTTTTTTAACTGCCCTTCTGTGTTGCCACTGATACACTTCTCAGTCACCTTCTTGGGCTTGCCTAAGCCAGCAAATACAGAATAGTACTTCGGGATGAAGACAAAGCGTGAACAGTGCAGGGAGCTGCATGTTGAGAAGGGAAGAAGGGAATGGATGGGTGGACTGGTCACACCATCCTTGCTGTACAGATGCGTTGGGGAGCATTGGGAATGCTCAGGCCAGATGGGTTCTGGCATGGCTGAGATAGGAGGATGAATTCCCAGGACCTGGGCAAGAACCTAGCATTTGTGATCTGCAAATGATCTGACACTTGGCGCTTCTTTTTACCTGAGATCTGGTCGTGGGATCCAAGAAAACGAACCAGTCTGCTTCCCCCATCCCCTGCACTGTGCTGGTTACACATGTCTGCTCTTAATTCTCACGCTGAGCTCTACAGACAGATCCTACGTATACGTAGGGAATAAACTTCCTTTGTACTCTGCTCTATTGTAGTTTACTCCAGTGGCAGGAGGCATAGCTCAGTTCTAACCATGTGTTTTGTAAAAATGAGCCTCAGGAGGAGAAGGTGGAGAGAGGGTTGCTTATACATGTGTTGATATCTGATGCAATCCTCAGTATGAGCCACGTTTTTCTGGATATTTCAGCATATACTGAGAATGACACATGAGCAATCCAGGCTATTTTCAGAACTGACAGTTTTCCTTCTCACTCCAACAATTGCTTTTTCAATACACTAGAGTATGCAAAGTGCTTCAATAAACTTTTAATTAGGAGTAGGAGTAACAGTGAAACTAAGGGAAAACTTTAGGCAAAATGAGAAGTGACTTCAGCTCGTACCTGTTTTGTAGGTTTTTTGTTAACTTTTCGAAAGAAACTGCACGCTTTGGAATTTGTTGGTTTCTGGAAAGGATTTCTAGAAGGAATCCTTTTCAGGAGTCCTGAAACAGCCTAAGAAAGATTGTTTCTCTGATCTTCTGACCCAGGAAAGACCCAACAGAAATCTGCTCTGATGGGAATCATGGGCTAAGCAGTCTGGATATATTTTGATCTGAGCTCTCAGGTACTTCTCTAAACCAAAATATTCAAAATGTTTTAGGTTTTTAAAAAGCTTAGAATCTTCTCAGATCTTTACAAGAGAGAACAGATTACAAGCAGAAGTCTTCAGATAAATCTGAGATGGATTTTACTGCAGTGGCTCTTTCATAGTCTTTAACTGAAGTCTGCTGACTGACACCAAGAGCACAAATACCTGATGGACGGGGTCTTGGCTTTTTCTTAAGCTGTCCAAATCAATTAGGTGTCTGAGGCATGGCGGTGTATTTCCTAGGAACTTTGTTACCTCCTGACAGAAGAAACAAATCTCTTTGGAACTTGCAAAGGAAGGTACATCCCACAGAGCTAATGCTATGTGCACTGCTTGTAGAAAGGTGTGTTCAACAAAAGATCCATTCTGCATGCACTCCAAATATCATTACTATTGTTTAATTTCAACTCCAGTCCTACATCTGTTTAAGATAGTGTCAAAGGTAATAATCTCCCCAGACAGATAAAAATACAAACCTGAAATTATGTTACTCAATTATTTTATTTACTAGTGGTGTTAAACTATTGTATTTCTCTGAATGATGCAGAAGAGCTATGATTTTTTACCTTCAAACTCCTCTCGAAATGCAGCCATTTAGCATCAACACCTGTTTTTTTCCAGATTACATTATATGAATGAGTTTGATAGGAGTCACCATGGTGAAGAAAGGATAATGGAATTTCAGGTAAGAGTTCTTTGTAATGAATTCATTCCTTACACCATGTTAACACCCACCCATGGAATTAAGGACCTTTGTAACACAATGCAACAATTTACTAGACATCACAAAACACCAATTATAGAATTGGACTGAAATAGGCTGCCAAATACTCCGTTCCTGATAAAAGAAGGTAGGTATAGTCGTGCCAGCACATTTTAACTCCTTCCTAAAAATTCACTTGGGTCCACTGTGTACTTCCTTGGTGATGCAGAGTTAGATTGACTGCCATGCTATGTAGGACATAAGATGTAAAATAAAAAAAAAAAAAAAAAGGAATAAGTCATGAACAGCAGTGAATGTGAACTCAGTTTGGATCATATTTATTTAAATAATTATAGCAGATTTTTAACTGTAAGAATCTCCTGATTTATGCAAGGAAAAATGAAAGAGTGTTAGCTTCTATATTGTATATTTAGCTTGATAAAAGGAAGCCAGCCTGCATGGAAGAAGCATGCAACTGAGGTTACTCAGCTGATATTATATAAAAGCACAATTATATGTCAGTACTTTACAAAGAACTCTTAAATCCTTAGACTGAATCGTCTGTTTTTGCTGGTAGGAGAGTACCAAACTGTAAGCAGAACTGAGCAGGATCTGACTTTCCATCACAGACAGTTAATAATTAAATCAAACATTATATTCAACAATGGAACATATGCATCAGCTTCTTTCAAATTGCATTTCCTTCCTGTTAGATCCATTAGTGTAAACCAGACTGCCTTTAGAAAACCCCTTATTGCTGCTGTCTTTCAGCACAGTTCCTGAAATGGATAATGTGGTGCATATTATGGGCAATTACACAGAACTCCCTAGTGACAGGGTTTTAGAGTTTCAGAATAAAACAGCTGGAACTACAGGGCTGTAAACTAATCAGAAAAAGAGACAATAGTAAGAAATTTAGTGCACATTGTTAGAACATGGACAAAGACTAGATGTGAAATACTACATATCACTATACTTACTGTATTGCACACCATTTTCACTGCAAAATCCTGGTTAACCCTTGAAGGACGAGGCAGTCAAAAACCAAAGATAGTGGCATGAACAAATGCATGCATGGCTATATAACCTGAGCTAATTGGAAACATTAAAGGAAGAAGTCTTAAGCCAGAGCCCTGGTTTTCACTTCATGTCAGTTAAGTTTGAATCAAATAGAGAACTCTATCTCAAAAATTATAATTTATTAACAAATGCATAATGAATACATATCTAGATATGCTAAGAAACTATGTCTCCATCCCTCTTGTACTGCTTTAACACACTCTGAAAATTTAACATTTGGGTTGCAAAAATTGCATTTGCTCGTGGATATATCAAGACTACTGCCACAATGCATAGTGTTTGATCCTACATCAGTTTAAATTGATGGCAAAGCTCCCATTAATTTTAGTAATACAGCAGCGAATTTTTAGAATAGCACATGCATCATTTGAAAGCACAATGACCATGATTACATGTGTAATCACAGTAATTGGGCACACAATTACTGGTTGGGTATCTAACTGCCTTTCAAAAATCAGTTGCTCTACTTGCATGTATACTCACAGCAGTCGCTCGTTCAAATACGGTGCAGCCCAGAGCGTCCCTACCTCCGTGCTCGCCACTGAAATGCTACCTAGCAGGGTTGTGTCTCTGGCAGTAGGTCTGGGGGATAGAGAAGCATGTGCTTATGTTGCAGTGTTCTGAACAATAAATAAAAAAGGAAGAGAAATGGTTGCAGTGCCTCTTTGGAAAAGTAAAAATGTGAATTACTTCAACTAATTTTTCAAAAGGACAGCGACTGATTTTCACCAGCTCCTGTCTTGTGAGCCTTCTTATCAGCAGGGTCCAGCAGGCATCAGCACATTAGTGTTTTCTAATGCTATGCAAAATTGATCAAATAATGTATTGAATAACAGCACCATACTAGAATAAAATAAAAAATAAAAATTGAAACCAAATAAAGCAACACTGAGTAAGATTTTGCAGCCTAAAAAATTCAGAAAACAAAGTTTCAGCGTAGTGTACAGTGAGTTTCTTGCAGTGCAGAATGCAAAAACCAGCTGCTGTGGCTTACTCTAGTTTAAAAGGTGACTCCTTTTGCTCAGAAGGTTGATTTTTATAGCTGCAGAGGTAGAGAAAAGTACATCCTCCTTAGATAGTGATAAGACACAGATATCCATTCTTTTGCTCAGCAAAATGGTAGCTGGAGAAAGTCTGACACAAACGATTTTATTCATTTGTCCCTCGCAGACCTGGCCTGTACAATGAGTGTGCTTTGCTTTTCTGGTAACAAGTTTATGAGCCCACAGTCAAGGGGATGGAGGGGTCGGGCAGGCTGGGCCTGGCTGCCTGGCATGTGCTTCTCCCAAGGGCTCTGTGCAGGGAAGGCTGGGCCATGAGTCGACATGAGAGAAAGCAGATGTCAGTTAACAGCCAGAAAACACTCTCTTCCTGGGGAGAAATGGGCTCTCTTCCAGGGGATGGGAGCTCTGGGGTTGTGTTAGGGCAAGAGGTAGCACAGCCTCTCCAGGAGCCACCCTTGCCATGCAGGGATAGCTGAAGGCACTCGCTCCAAGGGACTGGGACAGGACAGGATCCCACGGCTTGTGAGCATGGGCTCCCCGGCAGCCCTGACCATGATGTGAAATATAGCTGTCTTCCCATATAGAAGAATCAAAAAAATTACTATGAATGAATAATGAACTTTTTCCGAGGCTGCCTATTGCTGGGGGAGGACAGCTGGGCTGGGAGGCCTTCAGTGCACTACACCTTGTATGTTTACCAAGAGGGAAGGCTTGTACAAAGTACTGGGATGGATGTAATGGTTACAAATCACTCATGCTGTCTAAATAAGATCTGTATATCAAATATCATAATGTTTGACAGTATCTGGGTCTCAACTTCCCTTGTTTTAGGGGTGAAAATTTTGAAGCTCAGCCCCATATGTGGGATTTTAGTGCCATCAGGGTTTGGGAAGTTTGGCCCAGGGCTCTGGTATGCTGAAGAGACAACAAATCTGTAGTCTCTGTCATACAGAAGAGGGAACAGTGTTCAAATGCTTGAAAAATGTTTGTTCTGCTACTGGAAAGCTTCAGCACCTTTTCTCTCATCAGCATCAGCTTGTGGCTGAGCTCAAGGCTAGCAGCATTGCAGTGTTTGCATGGCTGTGCTCCCTGGTTTCTTAGGGCCCATGGCTGCAGTGACTTGACATGTTTGCAAAATAGCTTTATGTAAGTTAATTCAGGTGCTGTGTCCTTATCCCTCTGCACAAATAACTGTTAAATAGTTTTTTAAAACTTTATTGTAGTACTTGATTCCCTTCTTGATTTTCTACAACCATCCAGCTGATCATTGCAGCAGATTTTGTTCTTAATTTCATTACAGTAAATGAGAAGTAACCTCTGTGAAGTCCAATCAGAGGGAATTTCAGCTCTTTGTATTGTCTGCAGTCTTGTACACGGGAGCTGTGCAAGTGGACTAAATTCAGTACAGAGCATTAAACACTATCTCTTTTGTAATTAACGTCAGAGAGCTCTGTGAAGTCTTGAAGCTATGATATCCTGTAAGTCCTGTAGAAAATATTTCTTTATACAGATCTTAAATGTTATTCAAAGGAATTCACCCAAAAAGATGGAGAACTGCTGGGACATGAAGAACATAAAGCTCTAAGACTGTATGTTGGAGAAAAGTTCCCCCAGAAGCGTGTGTTTAGACACCTTTGGTGACACGTGCTGCCTTGCCTGCCATCCCTGCAAGTGTGGCCTCACTTTCACTGTTATTGCAACATGTGTCAAGTGAAATGAAAACAGAAATTTGGGAAAGGATATAATTAACCTACTTGTAAACGTTAACCTTAAATATCTACCTAATTATCTCACTAATTTAATCACTGCAGATCTCAAACTTGTTTGTTAAATATTTAATTCTGCAAATTGTTTTTGATACAGAGGTGTGGATAGCTTTCTGTGAATGTAAGTTCCTACGTAAAACTCTTTGTAAAAAATCATTGTTATGTTCTCACGTCACTGAACAAACCCTGCTGTCAACAAGACTTTTAATGGAAATCACAAGCAACTGTGCCCTAAGGCTAAGAGATATAGTGCCCTATTATTTTAAAATGTAATGAACACATTGTGCAGAGAGTAGACCAGGATAAATTTCTTCCTCAACATCTTCGGGTTTGGTTCCATGGGAGTCTAGAGTGGAAAGTTCTGGGTTTCCTTGTTTCTTTGGTTGCAGCTCAGCTGTACAGTTGTTTCTTACCTATTCACCTCTTTATTACTGAAGTGACTCAGCAAAATGCTGTCCTTGATCTTCAGCCCTTTTTATCAAGTCACTACCATGTGCTAAAGGTAATCTAAAAGGTGTTTAGATGCTGCAGTTACCATGCCACTCAAAGTGGCTCTAATTATTCCTGAGAGGAAAGTTTTGAATTTGGAAATGTTTGTTGAGCGGATGAAAGCTCCGTGTTCGTTCCTTCCTCCCTGGTGGGAAGAGGGCTGTGCTCACACTGCCTTCTGTGAACACACATGAGGCCCAGCTGAGCACTGCAAGGAGGGCCATGGGGATGCCTCCAGCTGCTGGGGCTGGGAGAGGAGACTGCCAGGCTGTGGGTGCTGAGGAAAATCCCGGATGGAGCGGACAGCTAAGCCAGGACAAGCTCTAGAGGCACCTGGATCCTCTGTCCCATGAGAAGGTAGGGGTTCTCAGCTGTGCAGTACCTCCCCTCCCTCTGTCCCTCTCCAGGGGCTTCAGCCAGCCCCGCATTTCAGGCTGTACCCACATGGCAGTTCTGCCATGCTGTTTTCTTCATTTTTGTTATATGTCTCCTTAATTGAGGAAGAAGGTGAAAGATTGGGACCGACATTGTGTCAGCACGGTAGTCCTTACTATCAGAAGAAGGTGCAAAGCTGTGCTAAATCCGGGTGATGGCTCACAGCAGATCTCTGACAGGAGCCGTTTGATTAGTTAGATGTCCATATAAATACCTGTTTGCACTATATTACCACCTTATCATATATTATTTGGAATTTCATCTTGATTTTCTATATTTATTACACACAATTCATACATTTATTTATTACATAAAATTAATATATTTATTACACACAATTCATTTATTACACACAATTCATTTATTATATGCACAATTCATACTATTTAGTTCAATAAGAAAGAAATTTCTTTGAATTTGGTTGAATAAAGCTGTGTTTGCTCTTGTTAGTTATCCCAAGTCTTGTTCTTTCTATGCATTATCTCAATTTCTGGGCATTTTTCCCCTTCATTTACTCCAAAAATTACTTCAGTACTAATGAAAACTGAAAGACAGCCAAGACAGGGTGAACTTTTGGACAATTTATGCAAACATGACAGATGAGAATAGATTTACTATAAACATGCCAGGCACAAAAGACTTGACTGCTTTTTAAATACAGTAATATTGGAAGAGATTTATGGATATTTTCAACTGTTCATTAAAGAGAAAAATATTTTGAAACTATAGGCACTATCCTTTTATCCATTTTTGCCTTCCAGGCTGAGTTGCAAACCTTTGATGTTTTCTTCACCAAAAAATAAAAGTAGTTATGAATTTATTTCTCCCAAGCACTTCCATTTTTGTGTCAATTTACAGTTTCTATTACATTCCTGGCAGTCCAAATTATGGTGTTTGGAGAGTACCTAGAGTCCACAGCTCTGAGTTTCTGAAAACAGGGATGAAGTTCACTTAATGATGCTTTCTGGCCACTGTCTTTTTTCTTCTCCATTAATAATAAAAGGTTAATAAAATCTATGAATACTTTAACTGCCTGCTAGACCAACCAACCAATTAAAGGTTATTCTAATCTAAGTGGCTGGAAGCCTCTTGAATTGAGAAAGCTAACATACAATAGCTAGTACTTGCTGGATCAGATTAATAAAAAGCAAAGTCTTAGACATGAAAATCATGTCTAAATATGGTCCCTGTAGTTGACCAAAGCATCAGTTCCTAGAGCCAGACAGGCATATACTTAACTGTATATCTCAGCGTCTGCTTGTGTGCCCTTAAAAATCAATAATAAGCCTTGCTTTCAACTTCAGTGCAGCTGAGGTTGTTGGCAAGTCGATGATTTTGCAAGATCTGTTCAAGATACTGGAATAGTTTCATGGAATTATTGGATTCTTTCTTTCTAAAATAGTGTTAAACTCATATAAGTAGTAAGAATTTAAACACCAAAATATATGCTCTTGCATTGCTTCTTAAAAACAGTGTATCTTGCCAAATCTCTCCTATCAAGTCAAAACCGTGCACCAAAATGATAGCAGGAAGGATTTTGCAGTGCTTGAAAAATCTAATCCTGCATACTCACAGTGCTGCCTATGCCCTCGTTTTTTGAAAAGATAGAGAAAGAGCAGATTTGGATGGAAAGTAACAGTTTTCATCGCAACCTTAGAAAGATATTGACAATTTTGTAGCAGAATTATTTGAGCATTCTGAGACCCTTGAAAAAAAAGGCAGGAAGCCTAATAAAGGCTTCATTTTGGAGAAATGGATAGCTGAAAGTACTATTTTAACAGTTTTTACTGGACTTGCATTTCCAGCTTTTTAAAATTTTTTTTCTTAAATTAATTTAAGAGGCACAAACCAACACACATTTATGGATAACATAATAAAGTTGCAGATAATGCAAATGTCTTTAGAAATAACATAGTATAGCTTAAATCATTATTTTTAATGCTTCTTTCCCCCCCCCCCCCCCCCCCCCCCCCCCCCCCCGTAAGAACAGGTCTGCGCTGGTCTGCATTAATTAAATCTAGGTAGGATTCAAAGGCCAGATCATCATTACTTCTGTGTCGCTGATTTAAATCTGCAGTAAAACATTTCTCCATTTAGTTTGGTGCTTTTGTGTCATATTTCATACACTAGTTGTCTCTTAATTAAATGATGGCCCACCAACACAGACTATTAAAATAACTATACTTTGCACTTGACATATTTATGAGACAGATTCATAAGAGTATAGACTGATACTTGAACTACTCACTGAGAAATGCTAATAAGATTATGATGAAGGTAAGATTAGAATATTCGTCTCCCTTTTCGTTCCTCTCTTCTTTATAGAAATTTATTTTTATAACTGCAATTCACTATTTCTATTCCAGGCTCTTTGATGTTGTTGTATATACCAACAGTTCTTTCTGTGTGGATTTATTGTGGCAATGAAGAGTGGGAAACTGCTAATTTATATCACACCAGTTAAGTGCATAACTATTGTGTTCCTTGAAGTATGAATGTTTGCAGACATCTGTAAAACCTTCGCATGGGATTGACATATTCAAGATAATACCTTTGGAATTGGATGATGAAAAATATGGATTATCGTGAGGTGCCACATTGTTTTACCTTTATTGCCTTACTCCTTCAGAGCTCCTGTAGGTGTAGGGCCAGCTGAGTCTGCTCCTCTGTGAGGGAGGAGGCAGTGGCATTGTGCCTGTGACCCCTCACTACATGTTGTGCCAGGCAGGATGTGGCCTTGGTTCTCCAGCTCTATGTTTGAGAAAAACACTGCTGAAAGAGCTGCTAAAGGAAAATCATCAAGGATTTCTATAATTTTTCAGGACCAAGCTGTTCACCTCTGAGGGACCTTTCCTGTCTCTCCCTTTTTTCCCATTCACATTCTTGCATGGAAGGGCTCCCACTCATGACTGTGTCAGGGGTCCAGGTGTGGGCAATGGACAGCAGCTTAGAGGGTATTTATTTTACAAGTGGGGTATACAGAAACACATGGATATGTGATGTTCAGATTTTTTGGGGGTAGTACATCACTGCACTTCATCCAGGTATTCTCCTTGAAAGTGGCAAAAGCATCAAATGTTGGGATTTCATTTAGAAATAAATACAATATCAGAAAGTAAGAATAATAAAGTTACATTAAATATTTCATCCTCTACAGAAATAAATCAGCTACAGTTCAGGGAGCTTCACTAAACACATTAAGTCTGATAAAATCGACAGCACGTACTCCTGACACTAGTAGTAATTAAAATAACTTGTTTCAAAAAACTGGTCCTATACATGAATACTTATTGGCAATTATTTCTAAGTTCTTCAAACCAAAGATAAAGTAATTTGATTCACACACAATGTTCTTGTAAACGTGGTTCATACTGGGTTTTATATGCAGCTTAGGACTGTTAATTGCCATTTTGAGCCTCACAGTAAAATAGAGTTCAATATGTCGCTTTTTCTGAAGTATTGAGAAATGTTTGAGAAATGCTTGTCTTAGTCTAATCAACTGTGAATAATTTATTTCTTAGTCCTACTTTTCAGTATAAATGGATCTGACTTTTCTCAGAGCTTCTCAAGTCTAATCAACTTGTTACACTCATTTAATTAAGGAAATCTGTAACGAACTGTGAAATATATGTACCAACAGGCTTTTTTGTTGTGTAAAACTGGCATATCTTCATTGTGAATGTGATTGTGACTTTTTATACTGACAGGTAGCCTCTACTAAACAAGTCAATTTTTTTTTCTACACAAATAGGTTGATATGAATAGCATATAAGCTCTTTTCGGAACCACCTCTCTCCTGGTGGACCTACCACCCAGCTTCCCAAATTCACACAGATGTAGCTTTCAGGCAATTCTCATTTCTGAGACAAAGTGTTCTTCCATGCTTCAGAGTGGAGGAGGATGTAACAGAGGTGTGACATATGAGAGTGTGGATAAGAGAGTGACTTTTTAGTCACAGTTAGCCTGAAAAAGATCATCACGGTAGAATATTTAAACACTGGCACAAGTTTATGGTCAGGATCTGCCTGCCACACAGTTACCTACTAAAGGGTGAGCTAAGGCACTGAGTTGAAGTCCTGTCTGCGTTTCCCAGCCTGACGTAATTTGTTCTCTGAGAAATCAGCGTCCTAGGAAGGGTAAAATAAAGGGCTCTTGCATCACGTATGCATTTGTTTTAAAAAAAGACCCTATATTTATTTGTTAAAACATGTTCAGAAGTCCATCATTCCCCCCATATTTATGTGATATGATGAACATTTTTTATTAAAGAGAGATGCTGTGGGGATCGACGCGTTATTTTTTCTCCTTATGCTCAGAAAAATTCTGCAGACTCAGAGAAAAAGTCCTCAACCCTGGTCTAAAATACTGTCCAGTGCTTATGGGTTATAATATGAAAATCATCAAAACTGTCCTTGACAGGATGTTTCTTTCCATTAGTTGATTAAAATGGTTTATTGTTGCCTACAGCGTCATTACTTTAAATGTATTGTTTTACAGTGAGCAGATGTGCCCATGTCTTGCGCTGTTTCTCTTTGTGTGGTTTCTGATAAATATGGAAGTGAAATCACTATCTTGGCAGATCCCCCCCTGTGGAATTTCAGAGAGGGAGAAGGAAAGGTGAGGGGCTCAGTGATGGGGCTGGGGTACCTGCTGAGTGGGGAGTGCAGGGGAGGGCAGCAGTGGCAGCACTCGGGCACAGGGGGTGCAATGGCACTGCAGAGAGTTGGAGGCAAAGCATGCAAACCTGCAAGCACCAAGGGCTCAGAGTTGGAAAAAACCCACCCAAAATCTGGAATTATCTGCCTGGTAATGTTGTGTGTCTGGTCTGACAAAGCAAGGAGTTGGTTTTCACATTTTTTCAGCTCTGAAGTTTCAGTTAGAACATGGAAGTGGAGAGTAGCTGATCCTAAAACACTAAACAAGGTTGCATCACTATAAAATCTTATCTATCCACTGCTGTTTCAAAGAAAACTGAAAAGTCCAAGTCTTTAGGATGCACCTTATACTTTCTTTGTTTTTTTGTCCCATCCATGTTTGATGGGGGAGCTGAAATTTCAGTACTATTTCCAAATCTAGGGGTCATTTCAAGCAATAGTTATGGTATGAATACCTTTCCATCCCCTCAGCATATTTTTTTTAAGGTATGTTGTCATCTAATGATAATGGAGTCTTTCATTAGTGAATCACAAGTTATTGGGCATGTGACCTTATGTTCAATAAATATTTATTTGAGAATCATAGGTTAATTAATTTCCATTGTTTCTGTTTTAATTCTATACAGGCTTGTACTATACAATTAGAGAAAAACACAGAGAACCATGAGTAAATGTTGCTCATACAAAATGTTTCTATTACCCTTTACTTTTAAAACCATTAATAGATTATTAGGAGATACAAACATAGGAGGCCATGGATCATATTTGCATGTTAATGAAATTCATGAATTATACATTATTTGCAATGGAGAGTACTAGGAACAATATTCCTCCTTTCTAATAGCTATAAAAGCTAGCAGTTTCCTGGAGCACACATCACATTCCCTCTGCAATACCTTCTAATAGAAAGAAAGAAATCCAGCTCTTCAAAGCAATTTCTCACTAAATGAAATAGATTTGTTTGTGTTGCTTTGCAACACACAAGTGTGACAGTTCATTTTAAACAAAATAGTTTTAATAATGTCATTACTAATATCTATTTGGTCATCTCTCTGAAAAATGTTGTTTTAATAGGAATGTTTCATTTTAATAAATGGCAGAAGGGGCAAGCTGCCCTGAGTCAGCAGGAAGTGGATATACACCAGAGAACAGGCTGATTGTGTTAGATTCA